CAACATCATCTCATGTTACTATCATATCATTTTATCATCATCTCATAATCATTATTATCATCTTTTTATAATGAAGTCATAATCATCTCATAATCTTCATTATCATATTATTATCACCTCTTTTCCCATGAAATTTGCTTTTATAGTGAATCAATTTGTGATTGGAGATCCTAATAATCATGATCATCATTATTAATATTATCATTATCACTTTATCATATCTTTTTTTACCATAATCATCATCATTACCATCATCATTATCTTATAATAGTCATGTTATTATTATTTCATTATTATCTTTATTTTTTTTCACTTGAAATTCCTTTTTACCATGAATATGTTTACATTTGCAGATCCTTATCATTATCAGCTTTATAATCATCATTATTAATATTATCGTCATTATCATCTTATCATCATCTTATCATCATCTCATTTTTGTACCTTCATCATCATCATCATCGTTGTCATTGGCATCATCAGTACCTGTATTCATATATCAAGCTCATCAGTGAACTAGGAATCTCTTAGATTACTTATAATTTAATATAATTTTTATTAATTTTTTTTAATTAATAAGGAATTATGCAGCATTTAGATTTGTTCCTGATAGCAAATCATTTGAAATAATGATAAAAAATAAATTAACTGTGCATTATTGGATGAGGTAGATTAAAATAATCCATTCATAAATTAATTAAATTTTTCACAACAATTTCTTGTTAAAATATATTTGGATGAGATTAATTTCATTACTTAAAAGCATTCTACCTAGATCTATTATACTACTAACAATAATGATATTATTTGATCATATTGGTTATTTTCTTGTTTTTTAAAGGGCATAATATAGGGCATCTATTATATTATGTTAAAGTTCACCGTTATTATTGTTATTGGTTTGAATATTGAAATATTATACAAAATGTAATCGATGAAAGTTTTAACTTTAAAAATGCATTAAGAAATGCGTTCTATATTATAGTCCTACCAATACATGTAGTGCCAAGTAATACCTATCCACATATTTTGCAGCAGTTGGATTAAAACTACCCATCTTGGTGTTGAGAGCTGTATACTACTGCTTTAAAAAATGAGATTTCTTAATTAGTAAATAAATCAAGATTGTAAAAAAAAACTATAGTAAATTTAAACAGTAAAAAATAGTATATTATAGTACTGGCTAGATTGCATAGTTGCGCATTTTTTTTCTAGTTCTTTGTTCTCCCTCCAATGTTCTAATGAAAATGTAATGTAGTTTGATTTATATCTGCGCTTTGTACGTCTCACAGCACTCAAAGTGTGGACTAGCGTGTACTGTAACTTGCTGCTCCCCTAAGGGCCTCTTCGCGTCTTAATCTCCTTGAGCCAGTTGATAATGTTATATACAAATGTAAGGATAGTAATATTACAAAGGACTTACATAGGAATCATCGTAATTTTATGCAGTACAATAATGTGTCGCCAAAACTTAGATGGAGCAATCACAGATATAGTTTCTTTCAGATAAATTCAGGTAGATCAGCTGAAATTGGAACTGGAAAAAGACAAAACCAGCTTTATGCATCTTAATTTCTTGTTTATTTATGTTGTTAATTATATAATAATACATAGGTATTGTGTATGTATACTGCATAGTGCATTGACCCAGTGCAACTTTGGCTAACAAGTAGCTGGGTATTTAGATGTATGATGCAAACGCCCACGTGGCATATAAACAGATTAGGCACGAAAAGCATGGCATGCAGATGTAGCGTATACAGACTGTAAACAAACAATACGACAAACAGACACATGTCAAACAATGAATTGCATAGAATTAAATGATGTACACTGAATTCAATGTAATATCGTATGAAGTGTACTAATTAATGTTTTTTTTTGGGTTGTGAAAATCATTTTAATAACTTAATGTGCATACATACGTAACACCTGTCACTACAGTGTCCTATTAAAGTATCAATAAAACATTATGAATTATTGCCATAGAAAAGTCAGTTGTAATTTGTTGGGATAGTTTGCTTTGTATATGGAGCATTTGGAATTACTGCATGTACATTTATTTCAGTTTTGAACCATAGTTTGCATTACAAGCTATTCTAATAAACATTATAATGTGGTAGTAAAGGTTGGCTAGGTGACAACCATTAACAGGCCTACAATATTTTGTGCAGATTTATGGCATATTTATTTATTTTTTGTATTTATCAATAACAACATACTACTAGCAGCCTGAAGGCTGAAAACACTGAACTTATAAAATGGAACCATATGAGCTAGTCCACACGCTTCGAGCACTTGAGACACTAGTGTAAAGGGCTATATAAATTCAACTATTATTGTTATTATTATTTAATTATTATTATTATTATTATTTGATTCTCTTTAGTTTTTGATGTTCTACTGTGTCTTTTGAGCTATGTCTCGAGTTCTTCCGGCAGCTTAGAGACAGCACTTATTATTTTTATTTATTATTATTATTATTATTATTATATAAGAGCACAAACAAAACTCCATTTAACTTTCAAAATATCTTAAATGAATAGAAAAAATTTAATAGCTTTTATAATATTACCAGTACTATTAATTAATGGAAACCTTAAAAGTAAAAAAAATACTCTTACTTAAAATTTATTCCAATTTTGACTATTACAAATAAATTTAAAATACAATTATCATGTATAATTTTAAGAAATAAAAAGAAAGATTTTAGTTTATATAAATGTGATCATTTGTGTTTAGCAAGGAAGTTGATAGTATAATAAATTACAACAGTTTTCTATTGTTTTCTGTTTAAAACAGAATAATGATTAGGTCATTTGCCAAAATATTTGTCGCTTTTTAAAAAATACTTGAACTAGTGGTTTCGAGGAACTTCGGTGATTAATTCCAAATATGTATATGGTGTATATTACCGATGCATTCATTCATTAATTTAAACAAACTGATATAGCATAAGCAGGTTGGCATTGTTCGTTCAGGCGGTGTGAAACAAGCGAGCACTCCAATCTATCATCTAAATCGGGTATTCATTGCCCACGATAAAGAAAACCACTTTATAAAGTGTGTTTATCATTTGAAACTATATTGATACCGTATATATAAAAAATCATTCCATGAACCTAAGGTTTGACACGATTTTGGGCTTTTATTGCTAAAGCTCACAAGGGCGGTAGGACAAAGAGATAAAAATCCATGTCTGTTTTTACCCGTTTTTACTCGTGCTATCAATTTGACATTATAGTGTTAAATGTCTGCAGCGTAGCTACGACATTATTCAACCACGATCTTTTCTTTCATGGAGGTATGCAAAGATATGTTACAGCGTGCGACACGCTCTGTGCTCATAAACGGTGACCTTGTTTATCGTGACATGTTGAGAAGTAATCAACGATTGGTTGATGATGATGATGATGAATCAATGGTGATATTGAAAAAAAATAACTTTCTTTAAAATAGCTCTGTATATTAAAATATTATATTTCTATGATGAGTCAAATTTTTTACTGATGTATTTAAAAGTTTTCTTAAACCATTGTATTTAATAATAATAATACTGATGATTAATTGTAATAATAATAAATGGGATAGCACATATTTTTACAGAGTGTGTGTGCTTATATATCTTTAGAGTGAAAACTAGAGTATAGCATAATGACAAAGAAATACATAGTCCTCAACATCTTTAAACATTTAGTTTTAAGTTTTTATAAACAAGTATTCATTTTAACTCTGTTTTTCTATATTACTACTGTTCTTGCTAAAGTGAAATCTTAGTTATATTTTGAGTGTAAGTAAATATCATGGAGCTATATTTTGCCATCATGTTAAGCCTATGTATTGATTATTATCAATGGTCTACGGAGAACATTTTCATAGTGATTTATTTCCCTTTTAGGTAATATTCAGGTTCTGTTTGCATATTTTAGTTAATGCCTTGAAATAAATTTAAAATAATAAATATTAAATAAGCACCTTTTTAAAAAAGGCACCCAAGAAATGACTAATTTTTACTGCTGTTAAACACATTGAAATTGACAGCATATTTTGTAGCCATTTTTATTATTTATCATTTTAATTTTGTTATGTAACTTTTATAAAATAGAAAAGAATTTAAAATAATAATTATAAAATAAGCATAGTTTTATAAAAGAGTATTATACCCAATAAATGACACAGATTTTTTTCTGTGTTAAAACACAGTGAAATTGACACTATATTATGTAACCATTTTTATTATTACCATTTGATTTGTATTGTATACATTTTATAAATGAAAGTTGATTATTTCACATGTTTAATTTATATCTCATTATTGTCTAAATAATTACCCATTATGATTAACAATATGCTAGATCTGCCATGATTTATATAAGCTTTACATAATATTTTGAAAATGCATATGAATTCAATTCTTCTTCAAGTTTCATATTACCATTTATTATTTATTCAGAATTCACAACAATGTTTTTTTATATATAATTTTAATAATAAACTGCCATCACAGTGTTCTCCCAAAGCTGTTTTAGCCATCAATTTTACAGGTATAAATAAATAGCCAACTAGTAGACATTTTGAGATTGTAAAATAATAAAACCACTGATTAGGCCTAGGTAGTATTTACTGGCCTTCTTTCAATAAATGAACATCATTCCAGTTTATGCCTAGGCATTAAACCTCACTCAAAAAGGATAACGCCTCACAATGCGTACATAGCTGAATTTTTATGAACAAATTTACCAGTAAAAAAGTTTCAATTTTGAGAACACTACTTCATGCATTTTTATATTTATTATATATATTACTCATCATTTTGAATGTGTAAATATTCAGATATTATTATCATTATTAATATTATATTATTATTGGTCTTATTGATTAAAGAATATATCATAAGAAATGAAATGTGCTACATATGCAAATTATTACCTAATTAGCATACAGATGTATATCTCAATGATTGAAAATACCAATAATATCTCTTTCTCTATTTTCAACAGACGGCAAGATTAGCAAGAATAAAACTGGCCAAGAATGCAAGTGGAACAGCGTTTGTAGCACGTAAGAAGGAAGCTGAACGCTTGGCCCAGGTAAGAGAAAACTACTTCATTTATTGGATCGCTTTTTTCGTTTTGGAACAACGTGTCATAGCAGTGCTTGGTGGATGGGTAGCATTAAGCCGGACACACAGTGTGTCCGACGAATCCATCAAGGATTTTGGTGGCTTGAAATCACAACGCCATCTGTAATGCTTGGTGGCATTCTGTGCGGGTCGTCATGGAAAACAATATGTCGCACACACCTTGTTGAGTTGCGTTCTCCACAGATGATCGACCGTTGGCGCAGTCTGCTTGGCTTTAAGAGAGTAAACTGTGGTGTATATGTTTTTGCTATTACCGTCCTAATCTTCATTATCTTTACCCATGGCAACAGATTACTGATCTATAATGCCATGGGATGCATTTGTGACTCAATTTCAGGAGATTGGGCTGGTTTTGGTCTGGGGAAGTGGGGGTGTGTGAAAAATAAGAATGTGGAACTAAATCCCAAAATGTGTAACCAACTCCCTATTCCAATGAAAACTTAATGGTAATTTTGTTAGTGTATTAATCCACTTGGTGGAAATAATTTTCTGTTGTTGGAGCTTTCCCACCCAGTCTACACCAATGTGATTATTCATAGTTATGTTGGATTGCAGATTTAAATTGTTCCAGTTTTGAAAGGGCTGTATGGAATTTCTTTGTCAACCTTTACTAGTGTCCCTTGGAAAGATATTGCTCTTATCATTAAAGCTGGTCCTACATATATACATACTGGCTCAAGTGGCAGATTTGAAGGGAGTGTGCAGCCGCGGCCTTGGCACCCTTTTACCTCCCCCTCCTAAATTTTTCAAAATTATAAATTAAGTGGCGCTAAATAAAATTATATTCCAATTTTATTCTGTAAGTGCCATTCCTGGCAATCTGGATGTGCCACAGTCGTAAATTTTCTAACCTCAGCCCAACCATGTGTGTGAAAGTCCCCCTCCGGGCCTCCTCTACATTGAATTTCTGGATCCGCCACTGAGCTCTGTGTGGCCAATATGCCATTTTCTACAAGTTACAATGATCTATGTTACTCATCATGTGATCTAGACATGGTCTTTTAAATGTGAAGAGAGTTCTGCGTTAACATTTCCAAGTGCTAGTAGAAATTACACTTTTATGATCTGGGTTTTTTTTATTCTCTAATGATTGTTGCAATGTTTTATGATAATCTTCTGACAGACATTTGAAAGGCAGAATCTATTCATCTACTTATAACGAAAGCTTATTGCACAGTTATATTACTCAAAGTTGTCAGTTCTATTCCAGACATAATACATGTTTGATCTGTGGTTGGCAGCTTGCTGCCAATCAATCTTGAAATTCATATATGGCGCTGGGATTTTCAAAGGCATCTGAGAGCAGAGTTTACAATTTCCACTTGTAAATAATAATAACAGGGTGGTTACATTAGTACCATTTAAATAACAACCAATTAGGGTATGCTAACATTACGAAAAAGAGTATTCCAAAGATGCATAGCAATTTAATGTAATAATAATAATAGTGTAGTTTTATATATCCATCTAATATAAGAAGCTTAGGGCGCTTGATATCCAGACTAGGAACTTGATCAATGACTTTCTTCACCCCTAAGGGTCCCTCATGTCTGTGCTACCCGGTAACCCCGGTGCCAGCAACTCTCATCGTCCACCACAGAATCTGTCTGTTCCAGTACACCGGGGTATCCCCTTACTCGTCTCAAAGGATGTACTGGGTTCTTTATAGTGCACACGAGCCATTGTATACACTGGGCCTACGGTTTATAGTCCTTATCCGAGAAGACTTGTTCTACCACCAGAACCATAGGGGAGCATGCCGTTTGAACCAGCGCCAATATTATGTCTATAACTTGCGGTGCCCCTGCTAACCGCTCGGCCATTCAACTTAATGTAAAGCTCATTTTATTTAAACTATTAATTAATTAATTAGTAATGTTTCTAATTTATATAGTGCCTTATTCAAGAAATTGTTGACAGTACTTCAAGTACTACTCATTGGATAATTGATAAACTAGCACAAAGTGCAACTTTTTTTTTTCATAGTTTTTTTCATTGTATTTTTATAGTAAACCTATTTTTAGTATATGTATTGTACTTGTTTGAGGGCCTCTTGAGTTTCCTTGCTATTAAAACCTGTTCAGGCCTGTAGCCAGGGATCTTTTTATGGTTCGGGGCAAACCCTCTCTTTCCTGGCGAAATCCCTTCTCTCCACTTTCCCCCCTCCCCTCTTCTTGAATTTCCCGAACAAGTCATCAAACCCAACTAATGCATTGCAGACCATCCCAGACTCAGATGGAATGTTTTGCTGCAGACTTTTCAAACATAACTGCTTTTATAGCATTATTTAGATCCATAAAACACAAAAATCCTCTGGCTTTGGAGGTTCTCTGGGCGTCCCCGGACTCACGCCCAGAGAACCCATCCCCCTCCCTTGGAAAAACCTGGCTATGGGCCTACTCTTAGTCATTTACTGACAATAAATACTGGGATAAAATATAGCTTTAGGGATACAACTTCTCAATAAGCATAAACTGCCTTTTCAACATTAGTGAACAGTGAGAGATTTGAACCTCTTACCGTAAGGTTGGGAGCCCAACCATGTTCTTCAGCAAGTCATGCCCGTAACCACAAAAAGTTTCAATGGTTTGGCTAAATGCTGTCATTGAGTGACCCCATTTTGCCTCCTCCCTCCATCTAGTACCAAACAACCCCCTCGCTTTGCATTAACTGACCCTCATAGGGAATACCCAAATGTGATCAGTGCTACAGTCGCGCAAACCCTCCTACATTTTTTTTTTCTCTTTTTGTTATACAATGATAACTGCCCAGACCTGCAGGCAGCTTTAATTTTGTTTCTGAATTTTGAAATGCATTTTAGAGCATAACAATACTTGCTTCTCTTCACGCAATAGATTAAAATGTAATGACTTTACTGTAACAAAATATTAAATATTAAATTATTCATTAAAATAGATGTTGATTAAATTGGCTCACCGATACAAATTATTATGTAATTAATTTCTCAATTGAATATGAGAACAAGACCAAAGATTCACTAATGAAGCATCATTTGTGAAAGGTTAACAATGCATAATGACTGAACAGGTAACGTAATATTTTAAACTTATACAATGTTTTATGAAAATTAAAGTATAATACAAAATTTATTAAAGATTAGGAGAAGAGTTATATTTTTTCTTCACATTTTTTATTGCCGATATAATTAACATGCCAGACATTTTTTTTTAGGTTCTTTCTGTGACAAAACAAGCATAAATGCACAAACATACTTTAAAAAAAATTTTATCTAGTAATATATCATCAAAATAGTGTGTCTAATAAATTGGCGGGAAAGCTTTATGGCTGAGTGGGAGATGGCCTGGGAGGGGTTCTCCCTCCCAAAAGAGATTATTTTTTAATAGTGGAAATGGCACTCTCCGACTGACAGACGTGTTTGCTTGGCGTAGGCCTAGGCCTATTTTTAAAATTTTGTTGGAGTCCGACTTCCTGACAAGCTCTGTCTGATGGGGGGATTAAGCCCCCTGCCTCGTTGGCACCACCACTGCACAGCAGTTGTGCACTAAGGAATATTTGTCGATCTATTCTGGAGTATAAATTATGGGTTAGGGTACTGGAATTTGATGGGCGGTAACAGTAGAATTGACAATATTAAGAAAATGTTAAGAACTTTTCCCCATTATTGGAATGTATAAACAAGGTCTTGATGTGAATGTCACTTGGGCACCTCTGAATACTCCCCATACATGCCTTATCGCTTTAAATTTCCAACAATTGGTGCAGTATTGTTTTGTTTATCTGCGTTGGTTTTTTCCTCATTTCTAATGTGTCTTCATTTGCCCAATCTATTGAATACAAAACAAAACAGAAAAAAAATCACTCTGCTTTTCATTAAATCATATTATATAAAAGTTCTGCAAAGTATGTATGGTTTCCAGGAAATTTCTACTAAATACCATAAAGCCTTTCTTAAATTTGATGAGGTACTAAAAATAATATATGAATCTCAATCTTGTGGAATTGATGAAACCTCGCTTTAATGTAGGTTAAATGCAATTTATAATATTAAATGATCTATAAAATGTGGTAATAGGGATCAAGAACTAATTAATAGGCCTAGCTTCCTGTCTTCAATTTGGATCAATGCCACAGATATTAAAATAGTTGCAAGTTATGTATGTTATAAGCAAATCAAATTTTCTAATTAAATTCAGTATTTGAATTGATTCTATGTCATTTAATAAATTGAACTTTGTAAAAGTTGCTAACAAATTGGCTATGGCTTCTATTTATGTATTGAATAAAGTTAAATATATTAGCTGGGAAATTTGAATAAGAAAATACCATTCTATTCCGTTGACCTTTTCCTCTTTTATTTCAAAATTGTATCCTTAAGGGGATACTTTTTCTATACTGTACCTTATTTAGCAAACCCGCCAATAATGATGATTTTGAATAAAAATAAATTTTTTATTTTGGCCAATTAGCGTACCCGTCGTCACAAAAAAATGGAAATTCTATGAAAAAATAAAAGTTTTTCTTTATTTTTATTATGCCCACCGCTGCCAAAAATAGGACATGGATATTTCTTCTTTATTATTTAAATTTAAAGCATTTAACCACCCCATTACGTCAGTGTTTTCAATAATAATATTTTATATTTACTTTCCCCTCCATCTGGATATTTTTGGCAAAACCATTTTCTGAATAAGAAAACAAATTTTTTTTTTTTTTTTTTTTTTTCCAGCTCTTTTTTTGCCCTCTAATTATCTTTAAAAATATAAATTTGCGAAAAAAGTACAAAAAATGACTCGTCTAAACATACACTTAACAGAAGTAGTAAAGCTTAAAGTTACATACTGTAACTAAACCTTACGCCCAACATTTTTCACTTCTAGCAGCTCAATTATTCAACCATTGATCATGTAGGAATTTATTCATTTAAAATATATAAATTTAATCAAGCCTACGGCAAAATTAACATTT